CCCTAATCTACAGGCACTGTGCTTACTTTTTATTTTCAAAATGATAGCAATCTGCTGCTTTGAAGGGTCCCCCCAGTGCCTCTCCCAGGAAGCAAATGCCATATATTTCAGTTTACCACTTAAGTCCGACCATCCCAACATGCCTTCCAAATCCAATAAAAGTACATGTATGCTCATTTTGCCTTACAGCGAAAGACAAAATTTTTTAATAAAATTGTTCTCAAAACTCCCATACTTAAAGGTAAGTGTCTAAATATCATGTGTAAAGAAGATGAGTGGCTATAAAATGCATCTTTTTTTAAAGATTTATTTGAGAGAGCGAGCATGCATGGTGGGGAGGGGCAGAGGGAGAGGGACAAAGAGAATCTCAAGCAGATTCCCCACTGAGTACAGAGCCCTACACAAGGCTCGATCTCAGGACCATGAGATCATGACCTGAGCCGAAATCAAGAGTCGGACACTCAACCAAGACACCCAGGTGCCCCTAAAATGCATCGTATCTGTACTGTTGTCAAGGGTTTGTGGTTTTGTTTTGTTGTCCTTCGGAAATTACCAAAAATTTCCTTTTGGACCTAATCTTTATCCAAAAAATTTAATGGGGGCACCAGTCACTTCTGATTTATTCTTGATTTTAAAATGCTTTGTGGATGATCTAATTAAGTCTTTTTATTAAGAGATGACCATGAGGGATAGACTTAAAACTTCTGTGGAGCCAGAAATCCCACAGAAGTACACACTGTCAACCTAAATGAACTTTGATTCATCTGAGCTGGGAATGGGGGGCATCCAATGCCCTGTTTCCAGAGTTTCAACCGGAAGCCAGCTGTTCACCCATCTCCACACCCGAGGCAGATGCTATGAGCTTTCAGAAATGAGAATGTCAAGTAATTTTTATTTTTATTTACTATTTTTTATTTTTTTATTATTTATTTTATTTATTATTATTTAAATTTTTATTTAAAGATTTACTTATACTGGGGAGAAAGAGTGAGAGCACCTGAACAGGGGTAGGGGGAGAGGGAGAGAGAGAATCTCAAGCAGACCCCCCCACTGAGCATGGAGCCCAAGGTAGGGCCCCATCTCACAACCCTGAGATCATGACCTGAGCAGAAATCAGGAGTCGGACACTCAACCGACTGAGTCACCCAGGCGCCCCGAGAATGTCAACTAATGTTTTAAAGGAAATATACAAGCAGGAATCAGCCTTGTGACATTTAAAACTCAGAAAAAACTTCTAACTCATCACATTTTTTCATCTTTGCCTTTTTATGGATTATAAAAATAATACTCACTTTGGAGAATTCCAACATTACAGAAATGTGACTTCAGAAATTCAAAGTTACCGCCCATAATCCCACCCCACAAAATTGCTATAATAACTATAAAATGTTTATTAGCTCAGAGTATTTTTCCTATGAAAAGACTAATATATATAAATGCCTTTAAAATACACAAATTGCGTCATGCCACATGTTCCATTCTTCATCTGTATGTTTATCTGGCTGGTGTACAGTGATGTCTGTTAAAAAGATGTTCACTGAAAACCTGGTTTTTTTTTTTAAAAAAAAAGCTGGTTTTAATAGCAAAATAAGACAACAACAACAACACTAATAAACATAACAAAGTCAATACATCAGTATCGTCAATAGAAGGCAGGGATTTAAGATGGTATATTTGGTTTTAATAGGTCACAATATTAATTCTGGAGAGGATGACTCCCTGAAATAGTTCAGAGTTTTCTCAATAATCCTATAGCAGCACTACATTCTTGCTAAAACACATAACAAGAGGAAAACAGATCTCAAAATTATTTTTGCTGACTTCTATACTTAGCTTTGGCATTAAGTTCTTGTGTCAGATGCTAAAATTTTATTTAAAAAAAAAAGAATTCTTCACATTTGTACTTACTAGCAAAATCCACTATTTTATTTTTTTTAGGTAAGGGAGACAGTAATGCTCTTCTGTTTTAGAGATGAAGAAATAGAGGCTCAGCACTGAGGATACCAAGACCACAGAGTAAGTAACTGGGTAGAAACTTGACCCTGGGTATCTTGATCTAAATCTCGGGGCTTTTTCCACCTCAATATGTACCTTCTAGTACTGAAGAAATCAGCTGCATTTTAGAGGAACATTACATCATTTTGCCAGGATCTTCCATCGCTATAGTATAGGCCATTAGGGTAAGATGAAAATGGTTAAACAGAGGGCCAGGAGAAGGAAAAAAAAAAAAAACCCACAACAACAAATGTATGAAGGTGTTTGCTTTATTTGACATGTTATTTTACATGTGAAGACCAAGAAGACTGACTGATACATATGATAATTAAGTACACTCTATGCCAATGAAATCAGACTCATGACTTCCAAATGATAATACAGTCACTCCAAAAACATCCCTTAGGTGGGTCCATCCTAGCAAATCCCCAGCAAGGATGTCATCCCTCTCCTCTCTGTGCCGATGGCAACCATCATTAAATGACCACCACACTCAGGGCTCCTATCTGGCTCAGTTGGTAGAGTGTGTGACTCTTGGTCGTGGGGTTGTAAGTTTGAGCCCCACATTGGGTGTGGAGATTACTTAAAAATAAAATCTTTAAAAAAATATGACCACTACGCTCATGCCCATCCTATCCAGACATGACATCAGAACCTTTCTACATCATAATCCAAGGTTTAACACTGTCAATCCATCAAAATTGGTATGTAAAATAAAACTCTCATCTCTGTTTCTGGAAATGGAGAGTTGGAATCCATTATTAATAACTGGTCTCTAAAACCAGCTTATTTTTGCAGGTAACAAAGAGTCTTTTCAACATGGGTTGGATTATACCAAGTCTCCTTTATCAAAACAGATTATTTAAGTAAATGAGGCAATAGTTAGAGATTTCAAACTGACACTAATAGATTTGAGTTCTAAGAAAATAACTGCCCCCAAATTCTCTCCTCTCCTCTGTTGAACGTGGCCAATGGGCATCAGTCACTGCAGAAGACAGCAGGAAAACCTCATGTGTTTATTTCTAGCACTGCCGAGAAAGGGCTCGTGCCTATCTATGCCTGTTTAGCAGTAGTAATTTTCTTGTATAGAGTTACATAAGAAATACTCAGCCTTTCTTACCCCTAAAATTAGAAAAATACAATACCAAATCATCTAGTTTATAGCATATTTTCCTCCAAAATCAAGCCAAAATAATACAGAAATACTTTAAACAATTTTCATCAACAATTTTTAATTCACTGAGAACATTGAAGCAAAGATCAGATATTTGATTCAAAGTAAAGAGTGCAATCATCACTATCGCAAAAGGGACTCTTCTAAGAGTTACAAATACTTGAAGAGGAAGAATAAAATTAGCCATGCAGACTTGGAATGGAACTAGAGATCCTGATAAAGGCATAGTTTTCAAATATATATAGAAGGATAGAGAAAATAGATGCAGAGGTATTAATATTAATGATGATGATACTGTGTGTGCGCGTGTTTATATGTGCATCTTTACATTTCCTAGCTCTATCTACTCAGAGTGCATGGAAGCAATGAAACCCAGGATGCCTGGGTGGCTCAGTTGGTTAAGTGTCTGACTCTTGGTTTCAGCTCTGGTCATGATCTTCAGGTCTTGAGATCGAGCCTTGTGCCAGGCTCCGCACTCTGCAGAGAGTCTCCTTGAGATTCTCTCTCTCCTTCTTCCTCCCTGCCCCAGCTTGCACACTTGCACACACACACTCTTTCTCAAAAAATTAATTAATTAAAGAAGCAATGAAACCACAGTCATAATGATTAGCCTAGCACCCATATTATGGTTTCAAACACCATTCCTCATTAAATGGAGCCAGAGCTACTTGGAAAAGTAGCTGATTCCAGAACTGGGGCCAGAAAAGTACAGAATGAACCAGAAACATCCTGTGTTAACAGAAAGGAAGAAAGTGCTCAAAAAATGATGGGAACATGTCAAAAGGATATAAATACCATCTTTTAAAGAGCTCCGTCTGGCCAAAACTAGTCCATGTGACCACCAAATTATAACAATCAATGGGTCCATACTGAGATGGATGGATGGATGAATGGATCAATGTAGATAAATAGGTAGATAAAAATAGGGGGAAAAGAATACCCTTTCTTACAGTGGAAAGCCAACTAATAAACACAGAAGGAATGCAGTTAGAAAATCACTATTTGTCAACCATCCTAATAATAACCGATTCAAGTAAAAACCATAAATGAATGCTCAAGCCAGTATATTCGAGTTTGAGGAACAGCAGGCTACTCACATGGCCTCAAAATATCTCCCCATAAGATACAAGGTAAAGAAGAAAAAAGTAACTTGATAGTGAAGAAGTCTGGCAGATAGGATTTGAACCAAGCAGTCCACATTAATGTCACCAATAAAGGGATAAATTGATACCATGTGACTCCCAACAGGATGTGCTGAGAAGCCCACACTATCACTTCTATGGTACCTTTGCTCAAAATGTACCACCTAAATCAACACTCAGGAGCAACAAACAAATCCAACTTGAGAGACACACTACAAAAGACCTGGTTTGTACTCTTCCAAATAGGAGTAGCATGTGAGACAAAAACTTAGGAAGTGCTATCAAGTAAGAGATACTAAATAAATATGACAGTTAAATAAAACCTGTGATCTGGGATTTTCTCTCACTGTAAAGGACATCATAGGGATTATTAGTGAAATCTGAATAAATTCGGTAGATTAGATAACAAAGCCCCACCAATGCTAATTTCCTGATTTAGATAACTGCGCTGCAGTTACGTAAGAGAACGTCTTATTGCTAAAAAACACACACACGTTGATATATTTAGGAATTAAGAGTAGAGAGTGAAAAGGGTTCAAATAAATATAATAGATGTGGGTATTTGGGGAATCTAGGTAAAGATGATACAGGAATTCATTTATATAGGTCTGAAATTATGTCAAAATAAAAGTTTATCGATTAAAAAAGAATCTTAATAAAAGATAGTGAGTTTTGGTTTGTCTGTTTTTTAAATAAGTGCTTCATCAGGTGAATTCACAGGCCATTCTGCAATTTTCATTGGTCTCAGAACATTATCTTCTGCCAGTAACAAATGGTGAAACTTCATTTTGTTCTATCAAAGTCTGGCTCTGGAAGGAAAGGTCTTGTTAAACTTGTCAGTCCTGTAGCCTAGCCTAGCAATGACAGACTAACTAAACCTATAACGAACAAAACAAGAGTCATTGATTTACACCAGAGCCACTGAGGTTTCACAGCCTCTGTGACCTCAGCGTTGGGCCTTCAAAACCCAACGCTTCCACCAAGAACACTTTTTACAGAAGACTGTACAAAATAATGGTTCTTGGCAACCCCCCACCCTCTTCACTGCACCTTATCACATCTGCTCTCTCAGAGAACAACAGGACATTCCATTTAACCCAGCAACTGTTACAGAAGCACACTACTACCAAATGGGAGACTCGTACAACGCAGCCACGGACTCAGTTCTCCAACTTAAGAAGCCTGAAAACTGGCGAAAAATACAGATACTGTGGACGGCCTCTACAAAAGTGTAAGAGTTTCAGTGAGTTGCGTTACGTGGTCAGGTAACCTACCATACCAGCCGTGTGGCTTAAAAAAAAAAAAAAACAAAACAAAACTGAATCAGGAAAGAAACGGATCTATCAATCACACATGCCTCCAAGTGAATTTGCTAGTTTCTTAGCAGGGTTTGGTTTTTCTGTGCTTTTCTTGTCATGAGCGTTTCACCCAATGAGGTATTTGCACAACCAGTCAAATGCCTCATATGGTAGTCAACTGAGGAGAGAGCAAGATGCTCCAATGCTGGGGAAACCAGCTGGATGGACTTAAGGAGAGATGTATGCTGCCCACATGGGACATCCTGAAGGGATTTTTGACGGTAATATCAACCATATGTGATTTTTCACCTTTTGGTTTCTCTAAATCACTTACAAGAGAATTGCACAGAATGTGATTGGTCCAGAGTAGACTCTAGAGGTTACAGAAAAAAAAGCATTATATATGTGATGAAACCTGTTTACGTTGGTTAATGCACACTCAGAGGGCACTGGGAAGATTTTCCAAAGGTTTCAAGCTATTACAAAGAACAAAAGCATAGTTCCTTTAAAAAATCTGGTGGTATTGAGGTATAGGAGCATTGCATTGTCTTCAAAAGGGAGTTCAGAAAGCAGGCGAGGCTCTGAGGCCAAAAAACTAAAACCACTGGGGCATTTATGGTTTTATATTTTAGAATGAGTACAAAAAGTACTATGGAGAAATTAAACTTAGTTTTCTAAATAGGAGCGGAGTATATGCAATCAAGGGTGAGGTCATAAGTTATGAAAAGGGCCTGAGGCAGCTCATAAGTAAGTACAGGAAGAAGACACACACAAAAAACTCAGAAGCAAATACTGAATAAGTTGGAAGTTGCTGTATCTCAGTGTCAGATATGAGGGAGGGTGGGCACAACCGTTTGTCTGTCCCGATCCAGGGCAGATGGGGACAGGAGGTGCCAACAAAGAGTGTGGGCTCCCAGATCAGCCACGCTCCAAAGTTGCAACCATGTGGGCAGAGGGGGCCCAAGATTTCTAGCCCAGGACAGCTCAGGCTTTCTTATGAGGCCTTGAGAGCTCTCGGACAGGGAATCCAAGCAGACAGCTAGAAGGGGGGGAATGCTGACAACTCTGCTCCTGAAGCAACTCACCTCACATCATAAGGTTTTGGAGTAAGATCCATCTCTAATCTAGTGATTCTCCCGGGTACCCCTATCACACCATGAAGTAGTGCTAGAAATCTGTGGGGGCACTCACTGGCACAATGACTGGGGTGGGGACCAGGGATGCCAGAAGTCCTACAATGCACAGAGTCCCATGCGGTGCACAATTATTATGCTTCTACTGCAACTTCCACATACCCTTCCAGACCTTCGTGAAGGTAAAGTAACAAATGTTTTATGATTACCTGAGTGGAGACCCTCACTCGTTTTTACATTTAAACACTAAGAGTTCTTTTTTTTTTTTTTCAGTTTAAATATATATAAATTGTATACCCTTATTCATAGCAGTATTTTTCACAAAATAATGTCACAAAGTCAAAAGGTAGGAGTAAACCAAGTGTCTGTCACCGGACGGAGAGAGAAACAAAATGCGGTATATGTGCATCTATACACACAGTGGGATAGTATTTAGCCTTAAAAAGGAAGCAATTCTGACACATCTTCCAATACGGGTGAACCTGGAGGACGAATCCCGCTAGATGAAATAAGCCAGACACAAAAAGACAAATACCATATAATTCCACTTACATGGAGTACCTAGAGTAGTCAAACGCACAGAAACAGCAAGCAAAAGGGGGGCCTCCAAGAGCTGGGGGTACAGGGAGTGGGGAGTTGTTTAATGGGTACCATTCCACTGTAGGAAGATGGAAAAGTTCTGGAGATGGATGATGGTGATGGTTGCACAACAGTGTGAATGTACTTAATGCCACAGAAAGGTATAATTAAAAATGGTTAACTTTTATGTTATGTATATTGTAGCACAATTTTAAAAATACACAAACACACACACGGAGGTGTGCAAATCACAAGACGACTGTACTTTGCTGTGCCAAAACTGAACCCCACTCTGTTCACCACTGCAGAAAACCGAATCACAAGGTGCCACTGCTCCCAGCGCCTCAGTCCCCAGCACCACCCTCCCACTCCAGTAGCCTTCACAGCTGGGACCTCATGCTGAGTCTACAAGGGGGCGCAAGCATCTGCAGCATCGTGGGGTCTTCCAGCGTCACCATGCCCGTGCATTCTCATCCTGATACATGTATTTTAGTATCGATTACCTTCCTTTTATTTTTTTATTATGGCATACAGAGATCCTACAATTAGGTGTGTATGTATGTAAATATTACTTACAGATTTCATTTTACAACAGGATTGGTGGCACTGAAAAGTATTTGTTACAAAAAAAAATGGAGAGAGTGGGCCTGGCTCTGAGATGGGTGGGGACCACCACTCTGGTCTCAGGGGACAGACAGGAGTGGGAGTAGAGGAACTGAAGACTCTGCAGTAAGGACCAGACTCAGTGAGTCTCCGTGGATTTAATATAAAAGCACGCTTCTGCAAGAATCAAGGTTCTTATGGGGGTGGTCTGGTGGTAGTCTGCCCACTCCCCTGAAAAGGAAAAAATATGGTGGAAAGCTAGAAAGTGCCTGACTCTCCTTCGTGATGAAACACAGACACACTTAAAATAATCAAATTTATGCCTGGTAATAAACTCCGACAGAGATGAGGTGAACCAGGGTATATATTTTTCAGTCATGGGAATCACTGTATCCTGTCAAAAGAGATCAGGATTTAACTGAGAAGGGCACAGTGTGTCAATTGCAATGACACATATATTGTTGCTCTATTGTGATCATCCTTCTTTTCCATCTCAACACCGGGACATGATTAATATTTTACATACTGTCCAAAAGGGGAATGTGACTTACCAGAAACCATCCTCCACATTTCAAATACAGATCCCCCCTTTGCCAAGAGAAAATCCTGCCCAGCTGTAGATTTCTCATTTGCAAAACATAAGAGCAATGAAATTCCATTACTTAGAGAAACTGGCTGTTCCACCAAACCCTTGGCAACGGAAGCTGTACTTATCTTTCTGAACAATAGCCTCAGAAAATGTATTCTCTCAAAAAAAAAAAAAAAAGACAGTAAGTATGCCTTTGAGCTCTTGAGAAAGTGCTCTTGCACAAGCAAATTCCTGTTAGGGAAAATCCACTCCCCCGACCTGGGAAGTACAAAGATGGACCCTAAAACAGGCAGTAAAAAGAGCTCCAAGTTTAAGAACGCTTCAAAAAGTCAATGGGGATGTAACAATATTAATAATGTCCTGAAAACAAAATCAAGTATCCTTTTCATATGTACGTTACCACAATGTACCTGCTCCCTCAGAAGGGTGATTCTTAGACCCTAACATGTTCAATTTGTTTTCCTTGTGAGTGTTAACTGTATGTTTTCCTGAGGATATAAACGATCCTAAAGCGTACTGCTTTGCACATTGCGGAATTCATCCAAACAAGAATGGAAAGGCGAGACTTTGTTCTCTGTCTTCCCAGGCTCCCTTCCCCGGGAGAAGCATGCGGCCAAACTCCAGTGGGTTATGTGAGCTTCGCTCATGGCTTATCTCATAGAGTTCCCACTCCGTCCAAAGTTTTGAAATGGACCATGAAAACACTCAAGAAACACAGACGCTCTGCCAATGTGTTTGAACAAGCATCAGCGGCATCAGGGCTGTTTTTCCGGTTCCCCGTCTAATGTGCCCTGTCATGGCTATGGCCTGTGGTGCCGTTCTTGTGGGATGCAACGTATCATCCTGGACTCTCCTATCTAATTCCTCCTCACAGGAGACCCAACAACTTAGTCCATGTATTTACCCATTAAAAGAGCAGTCAAAATGGTCAAAAAACACCAGCAAAAAATAGTCCGTTGTGTCCAACTTTGCATCAAGAGCCCATACCAGGAGGCAAAGAATAATTCTTTCCCTTTTGGCAAGCTGGAGCATCCTAGGACATCGTGTGACCCTACTGCAATGTGCTGCACGGTGGGGTAGAGATCTACCTCCCCCAGAGCAAATCCATAAACCTACTCTATAAAGGCTTAAAATGCTCCATGAAGAATGAAGAATTTGGGATGATGTGAGTGACCATCCTGAATATCGACCTCGGCCTGCACATCTCTGGACAATCACCTTTTACACCGGACAAAAGACAAACCCAGAAGAGAGAACAATGCATCCGTAGCAACAACTGTGAGCCACGAACTGGGAGGACACGATCAGGCCTCCAGAGCGGACACGATTTTACCCTGGTAACCAACGTGAACACCGACACAATGTGCACAACAGGGGTTGCTCATCTGGTTCTAACTAACATACAACTCTCCAATGGCTTTCACACAAAGCTGTAACTGAAGCATACAAAACAGATGCAAGGCCGCGGGAAGACAGCCAAATTGTGAACATGCCACTCATAATCTGGCTTCTCTATATTTAATATAAACAAAAACTTAACACCAAGGCAATCAGCGCTCTCTGTAGTCCCACACAATGGGAGAGTTCTCCTGCCCAACCATCCACCAGCTTAGGCCTCCCTCCCTGACCAAACATCTTGCATTGAACCAGACGAAGATGGGATGGCATTCAACCTATTAAAAGACACTGGCCAGTGTTCACATACCTCAATAATCCTGTCATGAATTTGCAGGCCTCCGTCCTTGGCTGCGGGCCCACTGTCAACTATTTTGGATACAAAGATTCCTTCAGTGGACGATCCATCTTGGTTGTCCTTTGGGTTAAAAAAACACACACATGAATGCTAGGCATTAACTTGGTCATGAAAATAAAGCTTACACTCTTAAACTATAATGGACTCTTGCTCATGTCAAAAGTGGCAATGGGGCGAAAGCCCATCTGTGACCCATAATTTGTTTTAATCTAAAATTAACACATACACATGGTAAAATACTTCAAACCATAACCAAAAGGTATAAAATAAGTCCCTGCCACCTCCTACCCATTGTCCTTTTCCCCTCTATATAGCACCTATTTGCAGTTTACATATCCTTTCCAAAACATTTTTCATAGATCACTTTCCTAAACATGTATCTGGTCCTTTTTCATGTACACAGATGGTATGTGTGTGCATGGGGTATGCCCTCCCCATCCTGTGCATCTTGCCTCTTTCAAGTTTACAATCTTAGAGATTTTTCACCAGTCATACTGTCCAGTTTAACTCCCTTAAGCGGCTGAACAGTATCCCAATATTAGGATAATTACCACTGTTTCTAATTGTTGCTCTTAGAGACGATGATGTCTCCAATACCTTCCTACCTGTACTATGAAATATCTTTTGCAGTATGTATCTGAGGCAAATCCCTAGTAATGGAACTGGCGGGTCCAAGGATATGGAGATTTGATGGATGTTGCCAAATTATGCACTGATAGCTCATTAGAGTGTTTTCCCATATCCTTACCAGCTCAGAGTACTATTAAAACCTTTAATCCAATAATCTGATTGTGAAAATAGGTGTTTTATGTGTGCTCAGATTTACATCAGAAAAGCTCACTACCACCACCCCAGGCCAAATTCTCATCCACTCTCAAATCCCTTTAGATCTTTCAAAGTCTGGACCGAAACTTTCTGGGAAAGGGAACGGCTTGCTGCTCAAACTCCTTCCTTTATTTAAAATCAAAAAGTTCCAACAAGCCCATAAAAAAACCCTCACAGCTTGTTCATGAACTTCTTTCCAAACAGCACTGGGATGAATTCTCTCCAAGTGTGTGGATTAAATTTCTAGTGATTAACAGATGGATTTATAAGTTAAAGTATTGTTCCCAAACAAAAGCATTTGAAAAGTAATTTCAGGATCTTCCACAAAAACTCCAAATCCTACCATCATGGTAAATTTTTTGCCATAATGCCATAAGAAGATCTATTTTAATAATATTTTCTGTACATAGAAATACATATAAATTCCATTTGTTAAGAAGTAACTATGAAAATATAAAATTTTTCTCTTTAAATAGAAAAAAAAAATCCTATATTCTAAAGGGTAAAGGAATGACTTTAAATGTGGTTCGATCTACCCCTTCCAAGGCAAGAGTGATGGCCAAGAGTGAGAAAATGCACATTCCGTACCTCTTCTCTCTCTCTCCCCCTCCCTCCCCACCCCTTTCTCTCAAACACACACACACACACACACACACACACACATTCTCTCTAATGTTATAAATAGGATTCAAAAGAAACCAAAATCACAACCTAAAATGAGCATTAAGTGTTCTTCCCAACATTTATTCCCCCATGACAAAGACAGGTCTCTAAACTGCCATCTGGATTCTATCAACACTCTCCAAGAGAGGAGGGTCAGCAAGGATGTGGGTGCTGTACTAGATCAGCTATCCTCAAAAGGCAGCCCGCCCAGCACCACAGCACCCTACACCGGCCCAGCGCACACTAACCCGTCACTGTCTGAATTTCTCCCTGCCTCCTTTGTCACTCACAGCTGCCTTACTAATTCACTTACCCCAGGGCATTCGTGGATCCCCCTGCACGCATAGCTCAAATAGGAGTACATAGCTGTGCAACAGCTTCTATTTACTGAGTACATACTAGGTAGGTAGCGAGTACTCTGTGTCCCGTTTCATCCTCACAACAACCACAAACCTTAAGTACTATTATTATCCATTTCATAGATGAAAAACCTGAGACAGAGACGTTAAGTAACTTGCCCAAGGTCACACAGCTAAAAAGTAGCATAGGTCAGTTTCAAACCGAGGACAGTTCAACTCCCTTACATAAGCTCTATGTGCAATAGTGACTCCCACAGAGAAAAATCTCAAAAATATACATGAATTCAAAAGTTCCACATTCCAGGCTATGGAATATTCCACTGGACAAACCCGAAGAGCCTCAGTGGACCACAAACGATTTATGGACAATCTTGAGTTCCCTAAGAGGTGATATCAATATATCCAATGAAAAGAGATCCGTGCTTACTCTGAATTAATTGCTTTGCATTTCTTGGCTGGAGAGGAAGAGGGAGATGGGGGAGGGGCTTTTGGCTTTGGTCTGTTTTGCAGAATACTACCTCATGCACAAGTAATTTTTCTTAGGAGAGCAACTAAGTTCAAGCAAAAAACAGGGAAACAGGCAAAAGCAAACAGCACAATTCAGGTTAAATTAAGACAGTGGTAGAAGGTGGAAACAGAATGCAAAAAAACATACAGAGAGCACAAAATCAAAGAAAGCCAAATCAATTCCATCCTGGATAGCTAGATGTGTCTCTTAAAAGACATCTCTCTGTTCTGAGTTTGTTTGGCTCCTCTCCTAATACATTTTAAGTCAGAGCTATTTATCAAGGTGAACTAACAAGGCTTGGGATTTGTTTTGTTTTGCTGGCTTGAGAAAAGGAAAAATGAAAGGGATTGTTTTCATCCCAGGGGTACCTGACAATGAAGTATACTTGCCAAAGCCTGAAGTGAAAGGTCTGATACACCAGACTGGATGCTGTTTCTTTAGGGATATAAGAATTAATGAATGAATGATGTGATAGTGCTAAGAGCAGTGCATCATGCAAGGAAAAGCCTTATGTCAGCGCCCCCCTGGGCTGGGCCTATGTCACAACCCAACCAAGCTTCTAACACAAGACTTCCTTGGGAAACACACACATCATGTGTACTGCATTCTACTTCCAGTACTAACAATGAGTGTGCATTGTTGCTCATCTTGGCTTTTTAGCATGTTCTCAATGACCTGCCAGATTTCCAGGCAACAGTTCAGAATACATTTAGGGTTCATTATGCGATTTCTGCTAATCAGGACAAGTTTTAAAAAAAAACACTATTGCAACCACATGCATATGGAATTAAACTTTCCTCCAGGGGACATGCATATAGTTCTTGCAAAAAGACCACATGAACTGAGAACGCTTACGAAAGCTACAAAATCCACTCTGGCTTGCACTTCAATCAGCTTTTTAAAGGGGAAAGAAAATAACCTAAAACATGTACTTTGATAATCACAAGTAAGAACCATATTCCAATGAGGTTGGGAGTGTCCTTTTGTTCCCGGGGAGGGATAGAAAACAAACACATAGTAAGTTCCCCAACCATCACCAAGACATAGGTATCCCTCTCCATTTCAAGCATTTTTTTTTAAAGATTTTATTTATTTATTTGTCAGAGAGAGAGAGAGAGAGCGCGCGCGCACAAGCAGGGAGAATGGCAGGCAGAGGGAGAAGCAGGCTCCCTGCTGAGCAAGGAGCCCAATGTGGGGCTCGACCCCAGGACCCTGGGATCATGACCTGAGCCAAAGGCAGATGCTCAACGCTCAGCCACCCAGGCATCCCATTTCAAGCATTTTCAAACATTGGGCTCCTTTTTCCTATATACGCTCTGGTGAGGCAGAGAAGGAACCTTCCTGGTTTGGGCTCTTTCAACCGTGGAAGTTTCTGAAACATCTAACAGTGAGGTGCATCTTGGTTTGTTGAAGTCATTTCTTAAAACTGGTAACAGTGGATGGGGAGAGGAGATTTAATGATTATGCAGCCAAACGAAGGACAGCCTCTGTTACTCAAGCTCACCGGCAAGGCAAAGCATGTTCTACAACACATTCTCGGTTAAGCTGGGGAACACGGACCAGGGCCAGTCCTGTTGTTTCCTGAGACCAACTACTCAGACATCTGAGTCCCAGTCTGCTCCCTCATCCCTCCCCTTTGCTGGAGTACGTCCCCCCGCCACCCCAGTAGCCAGAACACAAGCAGAGCAGCATCATGACATGCTGCCTGGTTGCTCAGCCAACTGGCAAACGAGCAAAGAAAAAAGGTACCAATGCAACCATGTCCTAAGAATTTCCATGAGATGACGAAACAAACCACTATGTGCGCCCATCCCTGGGGCTCAGTAAAGTGGGGGTGCCCCTGCCCCCACCCCTTCCTTCTCATAGTTTAATCTCATTGTCTGAAGGGTTCTCTTCTGTAGCTAAGTTTAGGGCAGATAATGCATCAGTCCCTCACTTAATGACCGTGCATTGCCTATAACTAAGCTGTCATTTCTTATAATAGAATGTGTATGTTTTTGAAACTGTGCCTTTGGCCAGAAGCGAGGGGAACTCAACCTACTCCTCCTCATACTAACTCTCCCATCTTCTTCAGCTCTCTTTCTGATCACCTCCTGCCCACCCCTCGACTCCAGCGACGCTGTGTACTCTTGGCAGCTCCCCCAAATGCCCACTCTGGGGCTGTTCCAGGCTTTGCACGGGCTTCCTTGGGTCTGTTCACCTTCTTCTAGCTCAGTGCTCTCCTAAGGTGGGCACGTGTGATGCAGGGCATTGGGACGATGAAAGGACATAAGAGAAATTGTATTTGTACTCACGTTTTAATTTCATCATTTAAAATGCTCCATTTTGCATGTAACTTTTATAAGCCATGTAGTATTAGTTCAGCCGCAAATATATAATTTAGAGCTAACTATATAAGCTCTTTTTTTTTTTTTTTTTTTAACAGTTAAGAGTGTTTAACGAAACATATATGGACCTCTGATCTAGCAAACTCCTACTCATCCTTCAGAATAGAGCTTAAATCGCCCTGCCCCAGGACAACTCCTCTCCAAGGGTGAGCCAGACCCAGGCACAGAGTTTAGCCACATCTGGTTGCCTGACAATGACCACAAGGACCCAGTCTCCCTGGCCTCCACAGTGCCTCCCAGCTCCTACCAAACAGCCCCTGCGCAATATTATTTGTTGAATGAGTGAATCCGATTCTCCTTTCCTTTCCTTTGACTATTACTTTCCTTTTAAGGTAACAAACAAGGAAATGATCTGCAGAAGACACAAGCAAGAGGTGATGCCCACTCAGATAAGCCCCATATGGAAGGCGTGATCCTGCAACGCGCCCTTTGCCACGTGCTGTCCCCAGGGCCCTTTCTGCAGACATTTTCCTCCCCGTTCAACTGACTGGTCTGAATTTGGCCTCTTCTTCCCGGAGGAGGAGGAGCTAATGATGAATAGGGTGGACAAGAGAGCTGCAGCGGGAGAAAAAGCAAAGGGATGCGACAGCCCACGAATTAGGGAATCGTCCCTGACTAATGAAGAGCTGACAGAGCGGAGCTCCAGCTCAGACTTCCGGTCCCGGAGCCCACGCTCCAGCTCAGTTACTCAGTTCCAAGTGCACACATCTCCCACAACTTTCTTCAGCTCCTACTGCTACACCACCAGACATGCCCCCCAAAACCTAAACAGTTTAGATAAGCTGTTGTATTACTAGGACAATGCTATTTTAAGAAACCACAACTAAATAAAAATCCCCGAGGGTGAAGATGTTAGATAAACAATGAACTCTCTAATTACAGACAGCAGAATGAGGTGAGCAAGGTTTCCTACCCCTCACGGGTTCCCCCCACCACCACCACCAAACCTTGACCCCTCTTCCCACTGCAGCAGGGCAAGGAAAAACACATTTTAGTAATTAACATACCACACACGGCCGGCCACCAATAATATTGAATCCCAGGGAGCCAGAGTCCCGATGTAGGACAAGAGTCAGACTTTTGGTTTCTTCACCCTGTAAGGGACAAATGAGTTCAAAATTTTATTTACCAACAGGGAATCAATAGTTGCAATTTTCTTTCTATCTAAGTGGACTCATGGACTTTTAGGTCATCCTTCACACTCCTCTGTCTCTTGGGCAGTTTAAGCAAGGAAACTTTTAGGGCCCCAGCTGAAACGGTGTCCTGTGCTGAGGAGGTTACAGATATGTCTAGGCCCTGCCTAACCCTGCAGTGCCCACATAAGAATGTCCGGCGATGTCCAGACATGCCTAATGAATGTGGTCTATCAATGACTCTGTGGTCTGCAAACGCATCTCTCCTTTGACCGGCCCACCCTGGCCAGCTGTCTAGACAGCTACTTTCTGTTTGTTCCTCAACCAGTCTCAACAGCAGCATTCACGTTCTGTCACGGAAGGTTTCAGGAGCACCACTCTCAGAAGTTTGAGCGCATGGACGGCCTGTCAATAGTCATCTGTGTCTGGGAGGCTTGAGGGGGAAGCAGTCCGTGAAAAGTCTGACGCAAACGTGGAGGAGAAACAGAAAGATCCTGCATTTCACTGAAAGGGGGAGCGGGGCCCTTTCACAAAGTAATGACTGTCCAGGCCATAGGAGATGCCAGGCTGTTTAACGGAAAACACTCTGTTCAAAGGAGGCTGGTCAGTGTGAACCCCTTTAAATCCCACAAGCACAAGTCCCCCAGGAAGCTCGCACAGGCCATGTTCAACAGCTGAAAGGGACAGAGATGCCACGACACCTTAACTAACACTCTCAAGTTAACAGACAAGTGAGTAAAAATAGATTTATGCTTCTGTGTACATGGTCACTAAACAAGCTTTGACATACACACTCAGCTCACGGAGACACCTCTGAAGTGTTTCCAGTGATTGGAATGATGCACCAAACTTCACAAATACGGACTGCAGATACTTGTAAAAGCTTCATTTGCGGTTTCTGCTTAAACGTGGTATTACTTTTTTTTTTTTAAGATTTTATTTATTTATTTGAGAGAGAGAGAGAGAGAGAGCACATACGAGAGGGGGTAGGGTCAGAGGGAGAAGCAGACTCCCCACTGAGCAGGGAGCCTGATGTGGGACTTGATCCTGGGACTCCAGGATCATGACCTGAGCCAAAGGCAAGTCGCTTAACCAACTGAGCCACCCAGGCGCCCCTAAACATGGTATTACTTAAATGCTGCATTTTTTTTTTTTAAAGATTTTATTTTATTTATTTGACAGAGAGAGAGAGACAGCTAGAGAGGGAACACAAGCAGGGGGAGTGGGAGAGGGAGAAGCAGGCTCCCCGCAGAGCAGGGAGCCCGATGCGGGGCTCGATCCCAGGACCCTGGGATCATGACCCGAGCCGAAGGCAGACGCTCAACGACTGAGCCGCCCAGGCGCCCCTAAATGCTGCATTTTTAGAAAATATGAAATACTCCCATTAACCAACACTAAGAGCTCATCACAAAATAGATTTAATTCTGATGTTGACTGCTTCCTGATCAAACCTTTGCCTCCTCCTTTTTCTGTGGAAATAAATGACCATATTTGAAGGACACGAATGCAAGGTTCTGACCCAGCCACACTGGCAAGGGAAACCATGCTTTCGAAATGACAGGCAGTGCCAGTGTTTCTGAAGCTCCCTTTATTGCTAGAGTTGTCAATGCAAAACTCTGGCAGCAGAACTGTGCCCAACAGAACCAAAAGAAAAAAAAATGCATGTAGATGACTAACGGGCTTCTGTAAAATTATCTCCATGCTTTAAAGTTTTTAGTAACCACAGTTATTTCTCATGACCACTTAGTGTACAGAATTAAAAATATTTGAATTTTTTTTTAAATTTCAAAAATGTTACATAAGCCTAAGCATCAATTGTTAAAGCCCTATAAAAACAAAAAATGACCATTTTTCATTAGAAAAAGACAGTCTTGGGGCGCCTGGTTGGCTCAGTTAGTTAAGCATCTGCCTTCAGCTGAGGTCATGATCCCAGGGTACTGGGATCGAGTCCTGCACTGGGCTGCCTGCTCAGTGGGGAGCCTACTTCTCCCTCTGCGTGCCGCTCCCCCTGCTTGTGCTGTGTGTGTGTCAAATAAATAAATAAAATCTTAAAAACAAAAAAAGGGACAGTCTTTAATGAAAGAACTAGGTGTCCTCTAAGAACAATGCAACAAAATATTCATTTCCACAGGCTCACTTACATCATATATAAAATAGAGTATTTTAATATAAAGAGAACCAGTCTCTATCAAGCTACTGTACCTAACCAACACCAGCAAAGCCTCTATAATAACAACTTACTGATTTTTCAAAAAATATTTCCACTCCACAGCATCACCACCCAGAGCATCTGTCTGTCAATGCTATCGATATAATTAATTTTTCCTGCACTAGTTAACAGGCAACAACTGTCCCTGCTCTAACAGAATAAACACTCAGGATCAACCTGATAGTTCTGAAATGTAAACGGGAGGATTCACTAACTGAAAGAGTTTAAATCTCTCTGCCTTGGGAAAGGAAAATCTTGGTAAGTCCATTTCTTGCCTTGCTATGTTAGAGGGGTGAAAAAGTTAGAAATACATTGGAATTTAAGTGAGTTATCACACATAGCCTACATTTCTGGCTTTCATAATTAATGATAGAAACTGCACAGTAACACGGTAATCCAAGGTAGATGGCTGCAGTCTGACAATCTCAAATGATGCACAGAAGAGAACACACAATCAAATTTTTTAAGGCTACTGTGTGATAAATCTACTGTGTGATAACCACTTATTCATTCTAAAAATGAAAGAAAAAGACATCTTATTATCCCGCATTAACAGTAACAGTCAACATTTATTGGCTGCTTACTACGTGCCAGAAAGTATATTAAACATGTAACTGCTTTATTTTCTTTAATAAATCCCACCAATCTCATCAACTGGCACGATTACTACCCTCATGATACAGGAGGGAAGAGCTAGTAAGAGGTCAAGCTGGGATTTAGACCCACGCTCTCTGATTCTAGACCCCAATTACTCTTCCCTACCACTCCCTTTTCATGTGGAATGTAAAAAAGAATGCCATGTAGCATAGCAGTGTCTTAGGTCCTTCTCAAGATGGTTCAGTTGTTAGAGTCCCAAAACGGTCCGGTCCATAAGGGAACTCATGATAGGAAGTCTTACCCAGGAAACCAATGTCAGAACAAAACTCCAACTGTTCACTGAACGATTTCTCTCCTAAAGACCCAACCTGAGATGCCCAGACACCTAAGTCTGTACCTAGCCTCAGAGATCTCTCTCCAGGGAGAAGTGAGACAATGCCTGAGACACGCCATTCCTCAGCTGAACAATCAGGTTGACAGTCTACACTTCCTTGCCAGTTGCAATCACTGGGGAGAAAGAAGGGGTGTTCTTATTTCTACAACCATCTTGACAAAGTCTGCAGTCCAGGAGGGTTACAACAGGCTTTAGGCGCCATTGCCTATTTTAGGACTGAGCCAACACATGGAAGATTTACCACACAATGCTGGGAGCAATAACAGGAGAAGAGAAAAGCTCTGTCAGGGCTGAATTCCTTTCATTTCTCCATCTAACTTTTCCTCGGACACCATGAACTTGATTCTGGCTTTTCCTTTCCATTCCTCTCCCCTTCAAAGCAACCTTAACTACTCTAATTTCTGATTCTTCAGAAAAAAAACCTGAATAGAGAATTTATACAATGGACTTTTGCACAGCACATTTAACATGTTAACTTGAATTCCTGCTTAATCATTTAATCTGTTCCTGAGCTGAAAATGCATCAGGATAAAAGGCATTTAAATAGTTCTCATTCACTGATACTCCACCAATTAAAGAGACATATAAATGGCACCAGGGCGAAGGCTCGCATGGATGCTGCTTTGCTGACTTTTCACAGAGATGATGTTAATGAGCGGCTCTTTCATCTAAAGGAAAACGTAACCAATATTGATCTGTTTTGGTAGTTTATCATAACCCATGCTTTGAAATTTTCCCAATGGCCTGATGAAACAAAACAAAGAAGGGAAAGAGCTCTATTTCACATCAACAACGGATTATCTAGAACATCAGCTTTTTGAAGCAGGCATTGTATCCATACTCTACACCTGAGAAACTGAGGTTCCAAGAACTGCAGACATTTGCTTAAGATCACACAGCTGCAAGGAAGGAGAGCCAGGAATCCAGGTCCACGGGACTCCAACGTCCATGCTCTTTGTGCTCTGCGGGTACACTCTGGCACCGCATTCTAAAATCCCTTTGCCTCCTAAGACTGAGCCTTCACATTAAAATGTCATGAAGGATTAGGCATCTAATTAGTTTTGTAATTAGAGTTTTAAGCAAGGTTTCTTTGGACTGTGTAGGAATAGTGGCAAAGATTAAGAGTATCTATTATACCGTGAAGGGTATCATAAGAGTATTACGACCCCGACAGGAACGAGGTAATGGTTAAGATCTTGGACTTCAGAGTCAGAACCCGAGTTGAGTTTCCTCATCCACAGAATGGGGATAATAATGGTTTCTCCTCACATCACAGGGTTATTTTTTTTTTTTAAAGATTTTATTTATTTATTTGAGAGAGAGAATGAGATAGAGAGAGAGAGCACGAGATGGGGGAGGGTCAGAGGGAGAAGCAGACTCCCTGCCGAGCAGGGAGCCCGATGCGGGACTCGATCCAGGGACTCCAGGATCATGACCTGAGCCGAAGGCAGTCGCTTAACCAACTGAGCCACCCAGGCGCCCCACATCACAGGGTTATTATGAAGAATGAATGAGACAGACAATCGCTGACATGGGCCTCAGCACGGTGCCTCACCAACAGAAGTGCTCCAAACACAAACAGGGCACAGGTGTGGTGGACACTTCCGTGGCTCAGCACTGAGGCCCATTGTACTATTTAACCACAGAAATGACTCTGCCACAAAATCCAAGCAATAAAAAAAATGTCTAATCCCAAATTAACTTAGTCTATCTAAAGCAAGTTTGGGAGATCGGGGGCCTGAAGTTAAGCAAAATAGGATA